TATATATATATATATATATATTACTAACTCAACTGATTGTAAATATATCTATTGATTTTCACTTTTACTTGACAACATTTACAAAAGAACACAGTTAATCATTCTTTTGAGGCAGTTTAATTGAATCGTTTACTGGTTTACAGTTTATCTGAATGATTCATTCACAAACCAATCTGAAACAAAAGCAGTTGGTTCTGAATTCTGACTCACTTTCTGATTCATCTTCTTACACAGACTCTGATGCTTAAGCACATACAATATCATTCACTTTAGAACTTCTATCTGATATGTTTCCCGTGGGTTACTTTAACATTTACTTGAGGTACCTTCATGAGGGTATCTCTTCTTATACAGGTACTTAAGTATGACTATCAGGTACTACAGCATAGTGCTTGTGTCTATAGTGTATTAGCCAAAACTCTCAATCAACTCAGTAGCAGCTGTTTTCTCAAATGTGCTGAGGAATTTAAACTGTATTAAAGCTGTGCCTCTTCAAATATTTACAAGACATAATATCTCATGGAAACCTAAGCTCTCTATCTCTATTTCTCTCTCTCATTCCCTCCAGGTGGTGCAGGATGGGGTTTGGATATCATCCGCATACAGTTGTTCTGTCTGTGAGCGCAAACTATTAGATCAACATCTGGCTTCCACTGTTCATGTATTTTTTTTGTCTTTCTCAGCTGTACTTCCCAGAAATCATAATCCTGTCTTTGAACTTCATGGTCCTTCAGATATTTATTTTCCTCTTTAGGCTTAGATTTTCAGCTCAGCTGCTGTGAAGGCTTGTTGTTAGAGCCGTGTGAGGTGTTTTACAAACCTTCCTGCCGTGTTTCTCATCTGTGACATACAGAATTGATTCAGTTTAAAACAATCACTGAGAAAAGAAGCATAAATTTGCATCAAGTCTGGATGCCAGAAAGCACTTGGTTGATGACCAGAGCCAGTGGAAATCGTTTCCACAATCTAACCGCGTTAAATCACAGAGACAGGTAGGGGTTAAGTGCTTGTCAAGAGGGCACAATGGTTATAATTCATAGATCACGTCTTTTGGGGTTTGAACCTGTAACTGTTTGGCTATCAGCCCAGCTCTTTAACCACAAGGCTACACCACCACCACCAGAAGGAAATCTTTCCATGGAAAATCCAACAGCAGGGATATTGTCCACTAAACTAAGCAGGGTTGTGTGCCTTTCAGAATTAAATTGAGGGTATGACAGTTATATACTAAAAATGGAAAAAATTTTCCTTTGTGTTTTTAAATGGGTCATATGATGCGATTTCAATTTTTCGTTTCTCTTTGGAGTGTTACAAGCTCTTGGTGCATAAAGAAGATCTGTAAAGTTGCAAAGACTAAAGTCTCAAATCCAAAGAGATATTCTTTATAAAAGTTAAGAGTCAGCCACGCCTACCTAAAACGGCTCATTCTAACACGCCCCCACATGTCTACATCACTATGTGGGAAGATTTGCATAACACCGCCCAAATGTTCAAGCAAAGAAAGAAGGCGTAACTTTTATCCTCGCTGTAGTATTGTTGTTGCCGCCACCATGTCGTGAAGATTCTGCTCAGCCTGGCTACACACACACACACACACACACTCCTGCCTAAAGCCACCATTCCATTACATAATCATAATCTCTCTCTATCGCTCTCTTTCTCAGTAGGCCGTATTGTTTGACTTATGTCATATCAAAAGATACACTGGTCTTTTGTAATTTGTAACACAATCAGAGCAGGCCAGAGAGTTTAAAAGCAGAAATGTGAAGCTGGAGTTTTTTGTCAAAGCACTCACATTAATTATTCAGTAAGAATATTTGTTATTTGAGCTGTTCAGCTGTCTAAATCTTCCTTCCGAGGTGAGACCATGTTTCTAGGTGGATAAACTTCTGTTTATGTTCTACAGTGGTGTGAGTTTATCTGTCACAGCCATCACACAAACCCACCGACACAATACTGTCAGGCAAATTATTTTGAGGCAAATGTAACATGTTATATTTGAATATAAGTCATACATGCATAAACTGTGGGATTATCAAAGAAATATTGCATTTATAGAGAGCATCATGTTGGTATAATACATGTCACAACAATACAAATCACTTGTCGCTGAGGTTATATAAGAACAATAACTCATTGTAAGAATGTTAGTCAGAAAAGCTGCTGTATATGCCAAAAATGTTTTCAAATTTATAATAATCAGAAATGTATCTTCAGTGATTTCTGAAGGACCACGTGACACTGAAGACTGGAGTAATGAGACTAAAAATTCAGCTTTGCATCACAGGAATAAATGACATTTAAAATATATTAAAATAGAAAACAGTTACTTTAAATTGTATTAATATTTCACAATATTACTGCTTTTACTGCATTTTAACTAAATAAAAGCAGCTTTAGTCAACATAAGAGACTTCTTTTAAAAACACGAACAACTTGTGAGCCGCTGTATGTATGTATATAAGAGTTGAAGTAATTTGAAAAATAATTTGGCTTGAATAATTTAGAGCAACTAGATCCTTTAATCTAGTCATTCAAATAAAGGTTTGTAAAGACAGAGGGAAAGAGGCCAGCTGGGACAGGGGTAGAGATGAGAATGTTGGATTTAGGACGAGTGAAGGGATTTTGGTGAGGTGAGGGAGAAGAATCTGACAGCCTAATTCTCTCAGCACTGCTGCTGGCACTGCAAAAATCATTTCCTTAATCAGTATTAGTGTCATCTTCCAGTAAACATATTTAAACATCCTTAAAACAAGACACATTTATACTTGAGAAACAAAATTGCATAAAATATTAAAACTTGTTTTCTGAGAATATATTTTGAATTAAGTGTGTTTTTCTTACCCCATTGGCAAAAAGTTTTTTTTTTATTGATTCAAGCATAAACCTCACTAAATAATGTTGGAATTATGCTTAAAAGAAAAGTTAGAAAAATACACTTTCTCTGAAGTATTTTAAGCAATTTTGCTTCTAAACAAAATGTGTCATGTTTTGAGGATATTTACATGTTTGACTGGGATTTTATTTTTTTCAGAAATTTCACAGAAATGCACAAACAATAAATGCATTTCATAACACACACACATACACACAAAGTAAGTGTGTTTTTGTAACTAACCTGTATGTGATATGTTTATGTTGCCATTTCTGCCCTGTGAGGGCGTAACGTCTTTTTCGCACGCTAAATTTCGAGGCACCGCCGAACTGGTCTGGCACCCCACATCGTGGCTTCTTCATCCAGCTGAGAGAGAAAAATAAGTGGATTCATTAATATTTCATTGCTCCACACTTGTGACATTCAGCCCAGCCTGTCTGAGCTTCTACACAACACTAAAATGTTCATAGATTAATTGGCATTCTGGAATAACCCCTCAAAATACACAAGGTTTCCATCATATCAACCGCATTAACTAACTTAACATGGTCCACCATGTTTTCAAAGACAAATATCTAGGCCAAATATCAGCCAATTAATCAAATTATATGATATAATGTATGGTTACTGTATTCATAAAACTGATCCCTCTCGATCCCCTTCAATTAGAGTTCACACAGAGAAAGAGGAGCCAAGACAAGTATGGTTTTGAAAGCAAGAAACAAATCACAAGAGAAAAGTCAGCCTCACCTTATGGTGATATCACTATGCCGAAGCAAAAAGGAAACAAAAAGATCACATAAGAGTTATGACATCACCAGGATCCTAGCGGCCAGATGTTGTATATCAGTGTTTCCCAACCATTTTTGACGTTTGCAGCCCTTATCAGACAGGTTTGAGTGTCTTTCAATAATGCCAAACTAGAAAAATGTCTTAAATAAAGGTTCCAAGAGGTTGTTTTCGCAGTGATGCCATAGAAGAACCATTTTTGGTTCCCCAAAGAACAGTTCTTAAAAAAAAAATCTGTTAAGAACATTTAAAAAAAATTTTAATACATTTTCTTCACTATAAAGAACCTTTTCTGGAATGGAAATATTCCATGGATGTTAAAAGTTCTTCATGGAACCATAGATGCCAATAAAGAACCTTTATTTTTTTAAGTGTGTGGTTGGGAATCATTGCTATACACCAAATTCAGTATGCATTTTTCATATTGTGTTTTAGATTTTGAGCAGTTTGTAAAGGCATTTCTAAAATAAAATCAGGTAATTCCCCATCCATTACCCTTCTGAAATCAGTTTTCAAGCTAGTCCGGGGTGGTTTACGCTGATCTCGCTTGTGGTTTAGCTATTTACATTCATACATTTCACAGATGTTTTAGCCCCCCAAAAAAATACGTTCAAGATATAAATTGTAGTCAGGTTAGACACCATATTGAATTTAATGCGGATGAAAACGAGACTGCGAGGGATAGATTTCACAATGGTACATGCTGTATAGAGGTCCCAGATCACTTCAACTTTCACCACTTTCAAAACTGTTTTTCCTGTCAAAAATTAAATATGACACTACCCTGATTAAGGTCTATTAGGTCTATTCCCTAGGAATTTAACCCATGACTTTGGCATTACTAGTGCAGGTGTCGGTAGAGACAGTCCATGATGGGGAACTAAACATGCTGGCAACCGTCTTTGTTGGTTTTCGCAACGGTAAAGTATGGCCACTTATTTTGTTGTACACAGTCAATGATGTTAAAGAGTCTCTGAGAAGAACAACATCATGTTAAACTTCTGACCCAGAATCAGCTGATATTGGATTGAGTGACCGTGTGAGAGTGTAACTGCTATACTCACTCAATGGTGTTCTTATCCAGTTCACCGGTGACGTTAAGGCCGTAGAGACGCTGCATGGCAGCGATAGCAGACTGCATGGTCTGTTCTGACCGCAGGACGGACATTCTGGGGTCAGTGGAAGGGAGGTAGCCATACCTCTGCAGCCAAGCCTGAGAGTGAGAGAGACCTTTGTTTAAATGTTACTTCTGTGGGAACATATATTATTTTAAGCATGAGTCGATGCATTAATACATTTTCATTCTTCGCATGCTGAGTGTAACATATAACCGTAGCTTTACATGCAAGGCTGAACTAACTCCTATGTTTCTAATTAATGTGTAATTATCATAATTCATCACATTAATTAATCTCACATTTGTATATATAAATAATGTATTACTAATATATATCCGTATTATATAATAAAAATATATTTGTATTATATATAAATACATGTATGTTAGTATGTATAATTGATTTGTAATTTGTAATTCATTTGTAAATATAAAAAAAATTAAAATAGTAGTTCTTGTTTACGAATATGCAATTATATATAAGTGTGTGGAGTTAAAAATGAATAATGTAAAAATATAAATAAATGTAAATAAATTTGAATATAATTTTTATAAATATAAATATATTTTTAAAATGAGATTTTATGCATATTTTATTAATTGATTTTTTAATATATATATATATATATATGTATATTTATATATTTAAGATTTTATATATTTAATTAATTCTTAGTCCACAACTTACTGAAATATGCAATTTATGATTAGTTAAAAAAGAAAAATACACACACACACACACACACACATATATATATATATAAACTTGTTACGCAATCCATTAAACAATCCACCAATCAAATAAGCCTTGTAATAACAATTTTTATTTTCATTTGTTCACCACTTAACTGAAAACACTTAATATAATATAATATCAAAGTATAATTTAATATAATTGAATTATTTTTTTAACATAGCTAAAATAACTAATAATAGAATACATATGAAATTGAGAGAAAAAAACAACTAATATGCCTAAGTAAATATCTAGACATAACCAGACAGAATTGTATTCTCTTATAGCCAAATTAACTCATACTGACAGAGTTTTCTGTAGAAACATGGCCGCTGCTACCGTTACTGCCATTAGCAGATTAAAAAGAAGGTTGAGTTTGTTTTGAAGTGGCTTTCTCATTAATGCTGGAGAGAAGCGGTAGTTAGTGCTTACACGGATCCTCTGCTGACCTATCTGCTGCCTTCAGCCAACAGCCAAATGCATCACAACTCTACAACACTCATCATGACACTGAGTGTGTGTGTGTGTGTCTGTGTGTGTGTCTGTGTGTGTGTGTGAATTATCATCTCTCCTCTAGCTATAAGAACATCCCTGTCCTAACGTCCCTTACGAAAAAGAAGTTTATTCAAGTGTGCTATTAGTATACTTCTTTTAAACTAAAAATAGGAAAGTATACTTTTAGTCTACTTCGCAGAAATTGGCTTTATGTACTTCTCAGAAATATACTTAAAATGGCATTTGTTCATTCAAAGGTCTTTTATGTTCTCAAAAGATTCATGGAACGGTTTTCTTCTAAAACGTTTTAGTTGAAAACTCGTCTAATGTTTTTAAATGTTACTGTTTCAGAATGTTCGCGAAATGTTCAAAAGTAAAAGTTACCATAATGTTTACAAAATATATGTAATGTTCCATTAATGTTCTTATAACCAAGAAAAAATTAAATGGTTTTTAAATGTTTAAAAAATTTACATTTTGAATGTTCAGAACATTCAGAAATAACGTTTTCATAACATAATGGGAATGTTAGTACAACTTACCGTTTCAAGACTAAACAAACATTTTCGAACATACATCATACAACTTTTTTAAGTTGAAACAACATTGTTTATTTATTTATTTACAATGTATCTTTGTTTGCTGGCATATTGCTTTTTTAGTAATTCGACACATTACTAACTAGTATAGTATTATTTAGTATACTAACTTTCATAAAACTTAGACTGTGCATTAAGAAAAAATACTTAAATTAGACATTATATGCCACATGCAAAGAAATAACTGGCTTGAAAATCAGAAAATCTACATAAAATACAACTGGGTTTCTGTTCCTTCTTTGCTTGGACATCTATTATATTTGCACACAGAAAATGAAGCTTTTTTGCATTGTGGATCATTTTCAGTCATGAGAATGATATTTATTTTGCACTGCTGTAATGAGGATGATATTTATGCAAAGTATCATTTTCATATGCTAAAGAAAATTTCAGTTTTGGGGTGAAATATGAGCTAGATATTTCTATGGGAGATTTACAATTGTTGTTTTTTTTAAAGGTCCTGCAGCTGGCAAACGTAATTTGATGACATACTAAACTAAAACACATAACACGATTTACCCAAGTACGACATGTTCCTGGATCAACATTATTTATTTGTCCTGGAATAACTTTCCTAGCAAACAATCATAGGCCAAACCATGTCCCTAAGGTTAAACCTAATCCTAACCCACCCTTACAATCAATGGGAATGATTGCACTAAACTTAACTATAAGCTTTAAACAAATGTTGTTTGAGGTCGGCAAGAAAATTGTTCCAGGAACATGGGCTACTCAGGTAAATCATGTTAAGGAGTTTAATACAGAAGTGTTTATATAAATTATATTTTTTTATTTGTATGCGTTTTCATTTTCATATATGTTTTAGTGATTTTGTTATGTGCTTTTGTCATCTTTGTATATATTCATTTTTATTTACATTTTTAGTAATTTTAGTTTTAGTCATTTTGATACTTCAGCTTCAAATTATTTCTTTCAGGTAAGCATTAAGTTGAAGCTTTTCATCTAATATTTAGATTTTTTTTTTAATAATTATATTATATAAATTAGACTTTTAATATGTTTTCATTTTAGTTTTAGTTTACATTTGAGTAATTTTGTTATGTATTTTATGTTTTTTGTTTTTATTTATGTTATGTTTTTGTTATATTATGGGTTTTTGTGTTTATTTATTATTATTTTTTGTCATATTTCTATATATACGTTTTTTTTATTTTGGTTTTGGTTTTGGTTTTAGTAATTGTGGTACTTCAAAATCCACTTATTTATTTTAGTTTTCCAAAGCAACATATCTTAGATTTTTTAAGTTGACGTTTTTCATTTAATATGTAGAATTTTAATTTATAATTATATTTATATTCAATATATAAATTAGATTTTTATATATGTACAAGTTTTCATTTTAGGTTTGATTTACATTTTAGTATTTTTTGGTTTGTTTGTTTGTTTGTTTTTGCCGTCTTAGTTCTTTTTTTATTTCTTCTAGAAATATTTATTTTGGTTTTAGTTTTAGTAATTTTGGTACTTCAACTTCAAATTATTTATTTTAGGTTAGTTTCCAAAGCAACTTGTCTTAAGATTTTTTTAAGTTTAAGTTTTTCATCAAATTATTTTATTTTATTTCATTTTTCAATTACCGAAAACAATTTTAATAGTTTTTTTTTTTTCGTTTTAGTTTTCACTCAAACTAAATGTTTTTTCTTTCTACAAATTAATTTTAGTAGAATCATCTGACAATGTTCAAACTTGAATGGATAACTCAGGTTTACTGAGCTATGAAAGAGCAATATCTCATCTAGGGTCAGCTAAAATATGCATAACACATTTAGACCTACCAACAATTTAATTCAGAATTTCTTAACAGAATTTTTACTGGTCGACCTTCAGCCCGACTAATGGCACGTCTGGTCAGGAAAGTGTAACGCTGTGCTAAAATATCCTGTATTTGCATTCACTCACAGCATGCTGTTAGCTAAACAGCGATCTGTTATCTTCAGATGTTTTCCCCTGCACAGGAATCATGTTTTTAACTGGCACAGGCATTTGGCACTGAAAGTCAGACTTCATGAATAAAAACCGTAACCTAATTTGATGTTGGAACGGGATCCAAGGAGATCTATGGTGGTTCGGGTTTACAGACACATATGTGATGAGGTGTTGCATAATGCACAGACCTGAAGTGAGTGAGGAAACCAAACCAGAGCAGCAAATCTGTCACGTTTTTGTAGGCGGCATTGTGCAGGGGTGCTATTATTCGATTGCACAACTCAACACAGTTATTGCTGCCCAGCATCTACGCCCAACACTTCATGTTCCTCTGTTTGTTTAGGGTGCTGAGGGACATTTTTCCAGAAAGAAGAATGACCAACTATTTTCAAGCTTTGTTTCAAAACCTCAACCAAACCCAAAAGGTTGCAAAATCCTGGCAAAAACCATGAGTATAAACAAACACAGTGCAGCTCAACTTAATCTGTGGGAGGTATGGTGCGTTATTGCGTTAAGTACTGGCAAGGTTTTAGACACGCTGTACTATTTAAACCAGTAACCTTAAAAGTGAAGTGTGAAGTGTTTGTTTGAAAGGCCTGACTGGTTTAGCCATAACATCATTGGCTTAACCAGTGTTGTGGGACTATTTGTTTGTTCAAACTTGGTTGAAATCATTATTTTTGCAATTATGTTTAGTAGTTTAGTAGTGAAGCAGAAATTACATACCACAGGACTTTTAATGGCTAAATAGCTATATAAATAGCTGAATACTGTAGCTAATTTGGGTAGATCATATGTTCCCAACCCTTGTGGTGTCCACAGACAAGTTTAGAGAAAATTGTGTATTATTATTATTAATATCAATAATACATTAATTAAAGTTTAATTTAATGCCATTAAATTGAATTGAATTTATTTATTTGACAGATTTTGACAATTATGTTTGCATTCTGCTTTCTAAGGACTGTTTTTAGAGACAAGATTAGAGAGAAATTGTGTATAATATAATATAATATAATATATAATTAAAGTATAATTAAATATATAATTCAATACAGTTTAATTTTATTTATTGTACATATTTTGACAATTATTTTTGCATTGGAGAGAAGTTTTGTAATATAATATAATATAATATAATACATGTTTAAAGTTCAGTTTAATGCAGTTGAATTTCATTTATTTTACAGATTTTGACCATTTTTGAATGACGTTTTGAGAAAAATTGTGCTATTATTATTATTATTATTATTATTATTATTAATAATGCATGTTTAAAGTTTAATGTCATTCAGTTTAATTTAATTGATTTATTTTACAGA